ATGGTTTAAAATAGAAGGAATAATCTCCACATAAACAAATTATTTTATTTATTTAATCACCTATTATTCAGGCACAATACATTTTTTTGGTCACAGTGCATTAATACCCCCCATGCACAACATAATCATCTTTTATAAAATCTTTTCTTGTCACAATAAAAGACGATGTGACATTAATAATTAAATAATCACACACTTATAAAATTAACTTTAGCAAAGACACTGATGTGAGAATTCTTAAATCGTTTTTAATTTCGTTTTTCAACCTTCACCTCGCTGTTAACCTTAACCAATTGGTCACACTTTCGTAAGTCAAGCAATTCACAAGCAAATTCATTCTCTTGTATTAAACAAAACTACGGTAAATGCTTTCTTTTAAATTGATTCGCGCGCTACACTTTTCTGTTAGTTTCTATTCCTGTTTCGTGTAAACTAATTCGTAAATTCGTAAAATCGTAATGAGTGAAATTTGTTGGCGTGTTGTTAGGAGAAATTAGCGCGAGATTGATAATGAATTTCATACATACATGATTACGGTTAAGTTTATAAGTGGTTTGATATTATAAAATATTGCTTGTTAGGAAGAGTGGTTTTAAACTTAGTTCAACAGCAAAATCACAATTACTGTAATACTTTTAATGTATTTCATCTCAAAATTTCCCTCCCCCAGGCCGCCATAATGTCGAACTACTATTTATACTATCATGGGCACTACTAACAAAAGAGAATCGGCGCAAGCTTCGTGGTAACCGCGTTCGTCGACAGGCTATTTTTGAATATCTTTTTGTTTATTAGGTAGGCATCTATTAATTTTTTAAAAATTAAATTAAATTTGGAAAACCATAATAATATTCCCAACATAATATCCCCTACCATAGTACAATCAACCAACAATAGTCAGGAAAAGAATGAATGTATAACAATGCATATTATTACTGACATCTGTCATTACTCCAAAGTTGTGAGACATGACAAAACCAAGGATTCTCTACCCTAAATATTGTTATTATTGCTATTTCTAAAAAATTCACAAAAACTGGACTAAAAATAAAGTCTCAGAAAGAATTAATAAATATTTTTATTTTACTGTTTTATGTTGTGTTTTTTGTACCTGAATATATCAATCGGTAGTAACTTTTTTAAGGGTGAGAATTTAAAAACAACAGACAAATTTGCGTACCAATTCATCACCCCAGTCCCAGAAAACTACCTGCAGCCGACAGTGCAGCAATAAATAACAACAGAAAAAATAAATACTATTTCGACCTTGTATTTACGTTGATATTAAAATTTTATTTTTAGTTAAAAAACTTACTCTAAAACTCTAATAAGTTCAATAGAAACACTATTGTAATTTAAGTGTTTAAGAAAGTAATATTTTAAATAGAATCTATTAAACAGCTTCCTTAAAGTAAACCAGTAAAAGCACAAATAACGTTAGTAAGCTCAACTCATTTTTTGTTTAAACGTGTTTTTGAAATTAATATATTGCACATTATGTAATAACTATAAAACTAAATGCTGAAAATTAGTGTTTTTTATTTAGTGTTTATTCAAAATTACACCAAATACAAATAAAACTAGTATAACTGAATTTGAAACAAAGTGTCCAGCCATTATGTCCTATTTAAAGTTATTGGTTAAGCTGGTCCTGTGACGTCATCTATGACTATCACGTCACTTATTACCAGCAGAAGAAAATCTTGCAACTGTTAATTTTTACCCTTCAAATTTTATTACTACAAGTATAACCATTCAAAATATACGGGGGATAAAGGTACTTTTGAGTATTACTGTATAATTACACATATACACAGGTGAAAATTCTGGAGTCTATTCTGTAACGTTCTAATTAATTTTAACCGTTATTCTTAACACGATAATAGGTTATTTATAACTATGACGCTTAAATTTTAACCCAAATCTGTATTTAATATTCCATCAATTTAATTTTGTGTTATTAGCTATTTTATAACCAATTCCAGTTAAAATAGAGTTGGCAACGATGTAATATACAGAAAAGTGAATTGAAATTAAGCCCAAAGTAGCATTAAAAATAAGAAAAAAAAATATATTTGACATGTAATCATTATTAGATTTATTACGGATATAAATTATAATTTTAACCAAATAATACAGAATACAAAACTAAAAATAACCATTTTTACAGAATAGACTCCATACATGTTAAATTTAAATTGATTATTATTTAATTTATTTCAAAAATATAAGATTAAATATAAAAAAATATTATACACAAATATGTACCACAAATAATTAATTTGTACAACATTTTTACTTCATTTCTACCACATTTGTATTACATTTATACCATATTTGTATGACATTTGTACCACATTTGTATTCCATCTGTACCACATTTGTACCACATTCCCAGATAGCACAAATACATATTCTGGACGTTTTAAAAACGTCCTGCTTGGATATTCAGGACATCTTTACAACCTCCATTTCACGGACATATACGTCTTATGGGCGTATTTGAATCCATGGACATTTTCAAAAGCTCAAATAGAGAATAACAGGATGTTTGAGGAAATTAGTGAAAATAATAAACATTTCAAAAATTTTTATTTGGAAGAAAATATCCTATGAATAATTATTAAAACATGTTTGTCGAACTCATCCCGTCTCTTCTCTACTTTGCCCTTTTTAACCATGCCTGGATTGACATCAATTCAGTTTCTTTTCTTAATTTGGCTATATTTGCCTTCTCAGCTGAACCTGAAAATAATTTAATCGTTTATTCAAAATGAAAGGCAGGTCAATATGAAAATCAAATTTGTTTGTTTAAGTTTGTCTTGCTGGACATTATGAATTCACTAACCGTTTAGATTTGTAGTATTAACTGGAAGACTTCCACCTTTCTCAGGAATAAAAATAGTACAAACTGCAAAACTTAATGTTAATTAACCACAAACTCACACAGTCAAATGGCGAAATAACAGAACGTGTACTCGTATAATATGTTCATACCTATGAATCATGAACATTAAACACCACGCCCATGTTTTTCTATTTTTTTTTAATAAAACCTGAGCCCTGAGAATGTATCAGTGCTTGACTTTAAATAAATAATAGTTATATATCAAATGTCACTTGTCAACAATCTCCCTTTCTTGCAATGAACCTTCTTCGTTTTTGGTCTATTTGGCCTTCATTTATTTGGATATTGGACAATGCCATCTTTAGTAATTATTATATTATCTCATAATATATGTTGTTTATATAACCAAATAATAATAATACAATGTTTCTATTTCTTGACATCTGGAGAATTTACCAAACTGGACATATTTAAAATGTCCAGAATTAATCCTGGACATACAGACGATAAATGGACGTCCTTAGGACGTCTTGTGCTATCTGGTCTTGTACCAAATTAATAATTTTTTATACAAATTTATTTATTTATTTATTTATTTATTTATTTATTTATTTATTCATTTAATATATTTCAAAGTGATAATGACACTCTTAGATGAAAGATGTAGCAGACGCTGCCAGCGAAAACCAAACTATTATACAAGAAAACAAAATAGTTAATATAAATTAACCGTTAAACAGTATTCTCTAACGGTTAAAAAAATATTTTACGTATCCTTAGCAAACAATAAATGTCATCTTCTTCACCAGTTGGACAAACGAAAATAAATTTTAAAACCGAAAATGCGTCCTGCTTTATTGAGAATCGAGACACTGTGCATAGTATGTCTGCAGTTTTATCACGTTTGCCTTGACCATATGCTAAATACTGTCAATGCGATATAAAAGAATATCCCGGTCACCTACTCTTCTTTCACCGACAGTGAATCACTGAATACTTAACTTATATTTACAGGTGTTTGTCGTTTGGTGAAACGTGAAACCTTATGTGATTTTTGCCATGATCACAATGATAATAATATAAAAATCTGATGTGTCCAACACATGACTTTCCTATCTAGTTATTATAGGCTTTTTCAGGTTATTTTGTACAACCTATTGCAGCACCTCTATAAATGTTTAGAGGATAAACTAAATATTATATACATTTTCCACATACATATAACTCGAAACATTTTTCTATAGATATTCATTGAAAACGAAAATATTGAAAAATTAAAATTTAGCATTATTCTTCCAATTTTTCTATTGCGGTCCATTTTAGAAAAATCATGTCAAAAACAAAAATTACTTGAGTCTTATTTTTAAGACTAGCCTCTCTATTTAAACCAAAAATATACGTGACAGTTTTACTTTTTAGAATGTTAACGCACTACCTTGGATAATTCAATGGAAGCCATTGACTAGAGCAATAACCTAATTGTTTTATGGGTGTTTTCTTTTAAATATTAAGTTGAAACATTACAAATTACTTTTTAGAATTTTTGGGAATTTTTTATATTTTTAAATATTAATTATTACATTAATTTTATTTGCCGTGGTGCTCCGGGGCGACTTCAAGATGATTGATAGCGCCATTTGACTTACAAGTGAGAAAACACGGAAAACCCCAAACATAAATTAAATTTCTGCTTATAAGGCATCCATCAAATCCTACAGAGAACCATGCACATAAATCCACATGGTCTCCCATGTAGGATTCGAAGCCAGTGTCACAATTGGCTCGCAAATGAATGCAGCGTCGTAGACATCTACACTATCCTAGTTTTCTACCATCTATTAATTGTTGATTATTATTTATTTGTATACAAAGTTGAGTAGTATATTAATTTAATGGACGTATACCCTATGTTTATGTCAATAAAATTTGCATCTGTTTTGTACACAGAAGCAGGTTTTTTTATGGAAATTCACAAATGTATTGCTAATAACAATAATATATATTTTCTGTTATTATAATTCTATTCATATTGTTTTTTTTTTCTGTTAAATGAATATTACTGTTGGGCGGTTTGCAAAATAAATATATTGTCACAATTTTTTAACACAGTAATACTGAAATATTTATTTAATCATCTATTTTTCGTTTTTAGGGACTCGAAAGACCTTCAAAAGCCATCTACAGCCAACTCTGCAGTGATAAGATTCTACAAATACGTCCAGGCTGCAAGAGATGGACAAGACCAAAGAGACTGCATCAGACTTTACCCTTCTTGTGCAATCAACACAGAAGCTTAAAATTCCATTTTTAACAATGTGTTTTAATAATGCAAATTGAGTAATTACTCAGTAACAAAAGTAAAAGCATAATTGCAAATTGTAAGAATTGAACGTATTTAAATAGTCACCTTTTAACTATATACTTTTTCAATCCTTAAATTTTAGGAAAAGGAAAAATCTAATAGGATCCTATCTGGCCTATATAGTGAATAATCCAGTAATGTTACTTTTAAGGTACTTAAAAGTTGACTATTTACTTTATATAAATGTCAGTTTAGTTTTCTTATCTACAAGGATAATTTAAAATGAAAACTTTAAACAATTTATTTTTCTTATCTTTTCCTTATTAGATTTTGAGCTCAAGTACTTTAGGTTTGTAGGTTATATTATTATCGAAATCATATTTTAATATTTTCGCAATAAAATTGTTAATTGTATATTATAAATATAAAAAATGGTGGTTTGTAAATTTGACTATTGCAAATCTTAGAATTACTATGTTGCCAAAAATTAATATTAGCTGATTTTAAGAAGGTACACTTACTTATTAAGGTTTACTGATTATATACTAGAATCTTTTTATCATAAATAGTCAACAAATTTTCTTTAAATCAGCTACAGTTAGCAACTACGACTAAATTTAGTCAATAATTAGTTATGAATTTAGTCACTAATTAGTCTAAATAGATTATTATTATTATTATTTGACATCCAATTATAAGAATATACAGTGAATTTTTACTGTTTTTATATAAAATCTTCTCTTCTTCTAGATAATTCCAAATGAAGCATATCAAACTGTCACCGAATGACCAAATTATTACAATTAACATTAAGAAAGTAATAATTTTATTATAACAATGTCCAACAACCATGGTACACGAAACCATAAATTATATTGGTTTTTAATTGTTGCTGTATCTGATTCGTGAAAAGTTTGATAGAGTAAAATAAATATTCTAAACCGTAAAAACCTGTATATTCTTGTAATAAAAAATAAATGTGGATATGGTTAACTAGTTTCAATGGGTTTGGTAATGGATTCTCTTGGTAATAAAGGTTTTGCTTCTTTTAATTAGGTAGTTATTTATTTTCTTAGATTAGTTAATGTGTGATGACTTGTTTATTTTTGTTAAGAACCAATAGTTCATAATCTGATCCTATTTATTTGTATAATAAATTAATAATTGTTCTGTTTAGTGTATAACATGTAAACTGGGTATGTACAATTGACAATGCTCCAAAATGTTTGGCACTAATGGCGGTCGACATACTATTCTTCCTAGTATCTAGTAATTGTGAGTAATATTGTATTCTTAGTGTGTCAATAAGAAAACTGATTGCATTATTTATTAAGGGTATCTGTATCTATTACGTGTGGAAGGTGGATTACTCCCACGTCACTTAGGCCTCACTAGGCCCATTGGGCATCCTCCCAAGATGATAGACATCTCCTAGCTCGTGCGCCAGCTTACAGATTTGATATAGTTGGCAACGTCGTCAAATGGTGAATCTCTTATATCGGCCGGTGTTAGCCGATACTCGCCGAACACACTTCTAATAAATGAGAGCGTCAAGCAATCGTAAAGAATATGCTCGATGGTATTATTTTCTGGTTAGCAGCCTTTGCAGAGTGCGGATTCTGACAGCCCCATGATATATAGAATGGGGCTTTTACTTTTACTTTTTTATCTTGTCAACAGAGGCGTTAGGAGAGGAAAATTAATTGACTTATTTTAATTAAAACGTTGTAAATAATTAAATTATACAAGAAGAATTATAATAATTTATTATAAGTTAGTTATTTTTATAGTGTCCATCATGGACATTTATTGATCATTCATTGGACGTCTGAATGGGTATATCCATTGGTTAACAGAAAATGGATGTCCAATAGACATCCATATAAAATTCATGGATATCCAGGACATTATTTGGACAAATTATGGACGTCGTGTGCTGTCTGGGTAGACACCTTCTAGCTCGTCAGCCAGCCTACAGATTTAATGTAGTTGACAACGTCGCCAAGAGGTGCTTCTCTTATATCGGCCGGTGTTAGCCGATACTCGCTGAACACAAATCTTCTAATAAATGAGAGCGTCGGACAATCGTAAAGGATATGCTCGATGGTCTCATCTTCTTGCTCGCACCCTCTGCAGAGTGCGGATTCTGACAGCCCCATGATATGGAGATGCTTCCGTACTTGGCAATGACCAGTCAGAATGCCTTTGACTAGGAGCAGATTCTGTCTAGTCATAGTCAAGTATTTGTTTGCTGCAGTGTTATCAGGATAACTTAAGATCTCCCTGGCAACTCTGCAGTTTTTTTTTCAACACATCTTTCCTTGAATTTCACAAAGGAATGTTCTTTAATTAGGTCTATCACTACCGATTTTGTCAGGCCAATAGAAGAACCAGGTCCAAAAAGTATTTAGTTGGCTGCCTTCTTATCTAGTGAATCATCAAGATGGTTACCTTTCGATGTGGCGTGACCTTAGATCCATCTTAAAGTGACCGCATTGTTGATGGATGCTTCAGCCAAAGCTTTGTGACATTCTAGTACTAACCCTGAGTAAATTTGGTGATCCGGTGAGATGGAGTCCATGTTCCCTTGAAGCAGTGGGAGCGCATTGAGCGCCTCCTGCCAAAAGCGACGTCTCGCCTAACCAGATCCCACATCAGGTTTTATTGCAAACGTGCGGAGGCATGTCATTGTAGTCAGAGCAACCTCATTGATGTAAATATCAAGGGTAGTGAGACTAAGAATGATTTCCATAGCTCTGGTTGGTGTTGTTGTCATGGCTCCTGTTATGTTGAGACTTTCTGTTCTTTAAATTTGTTCTAGTTTACAGATAGCTGTTAATTTTTGGGTTTTTGGTACCCAGACAACTGCACCGTATGTTGGCATAGATCTTATGATAGCCGTGTAAGTCCATGCGACGACTCTGGGGGAGAAACCCCAGGTGCGCCCCACGATTCGACGGCATTGTTCATAAGCAATGTATGCTCTTTTGACTCTTTTTCTAAATGCGAGTTTCATGTTAACTTGCTGTCAAAGGTAAGACCTAGGTACTTCACCTCTGTTGCAGAGTTTAGTTTTGTGTTTAGTAGTTCTGGAGGTTTTAATTACATTTTTATTTCCTTGTGAAAAAGACCCTTTCTGTCTTTTTAGGATTGATAGACAGAGAATGGTCCTTGCACTAATGTTCTATAATTTTTAGAGCTACTTGCATTCTTTCACAGAGTATATTCTCAAAATTTCCTGTTTGCAGAATAACGAGATCATTTGCATATGCTATTGTGTAGTGACTATCATTATTGAGGCGGCTGATGAGGGTGTCGAGGACCATATTCTACAGTAGAGGTGGTAGCACCCCTCCCTGTGGACATTCCTTCGCAACTAAGCATCTTATATTCACATCTTCTCTACTTGTGTTTACTGCTCGCTTTGAGAGCATGTTATGTATCCACCCACTAACCATCTGTGGATCATTTCTATTAGTTAGAGAGTTTATTATCTTTGGGAAGATGGATTTATCAAAAACACCTTCTATGTCTATGAAAACACTCAAGACGGGCTCTTTATTGTCCAGGGATTTCTCTATACGGCCAGCAAATAGATGAAGGGCTGAATCAGTAGAGCTGCCTGGGGTGTATGCATGTTGGTTTGAGTATTTCTAGATCAATCTACAATATGTTAACCAGCTCACCCAACAGAATAAAGAAGAGGCGCTTGAAGAAAGCAATGGTTTAACAACGCCCTTTTAAAGGCAAACATAAGATATTGCATTTACGTAACGGTCCGTCTATTACTTTATTTCTCTCTTAGCAACACTATTATATTTCTTTACCGTTCTGCTTGAGTAATGATTGCAAAATTCCGTATCATATACATCAATCTCTTGGTTTCGCCGTATACTGTTTCTTGGTTGATTTTACTGTCTTCAATGTAGAATATAGCTATCATGATGCCCTCTATCTCTGTAATTTTACTAGTAAAAATTGAAAAATATGAAAAGCAGAAGATGCGCAATATACTGAGGCCCGAATCAAGTGAGTTTTTATTCTATATGCTGAATCAAAACCTGCTTGACCCATACCATCCACCACCCTGCTTTTCATTTGCAGGGTGCTCCGGTGTAAAAATGCGTTACATTTTAATGTTATATTTTTTAAAAGTTGGCATATAATCGTCATTTAGCAGATTTGCTGTTAATCTTACATGGCACATCCGATCAAATAACTTGAAAAACTTGGGTTTTGAGTTAAATAGATACAAATGCTCAAAATAAAACGGTTCATCATCTTAAACAGAGTCATATTTTCAACTCCACATAGTAGCAACTAGATGACAGATGTCACGATTTAGCACTGAGGCCAGAGTTCTCAATTAGTATGACAATAATAATTTACTTTTTTCAAGTTATAACTATTTTATCGGAGGTGCGAATGTAGTCGCCGTTGTGTGTGGCATTTGCTTTTCCTGTGCTCTCTGATTTTGTTACCGTTCAAGGCGATCCCCCAGCTTGTCCCCTTTAAATATTGACGAGCCGGGCCAACGAAATACAGCATTTCGTGCATTCATTGGTGTTTATATGTTGTGAAAAAAGTGCATATTGCATACTCACTCGAGTTAATTTTTAATTTGTGTCATAAGGCTCTCAAAAACTGAATTTTTGAATGGTTATTTCGGGTTTACGGTTTTGCCATTATAGCATAACTAGTACCAAGAACATTGCGAGCTGTTTAAGTAATAAGTTTGGGCATTTTTGGACAGCCTCGGTAATTCGCTGGGTACAGTCCTTGACAGTTGCTACAAAGTCGCCTTAGTCTTTTTTATTAATAAACAATTCTTTTGCTCCACACCTAATACATTTAATACTTATTCTGCAATTCGACTGCACGTGGTAGATACCCTGGCATCTATAGCACTGAGTTGGTTCAATTAGTGTTCCTAGTTGTTCTAATATAACCACTAATACTTGGTATCTGTTGAATTATTTTATTAGATCATTTTCTTGTGGTTTGATGTCAACAAGAAACAGCATGAGTTCCATTTTGTCTTTTCCTGAAAAATCGTCCTTTGTACTGTGATTGGGTAAAATCCAAAGTTGGTCAGTTCATCGGTGATTTCGTTCAGCGGCGTGTCTTTCGGTAAACCTCTTATAATCGCTTTATACGGTTTGTCTTGCTCAAGTTTATTACAGTAAAACTTATAACATATCATGTCTAGGTAGGGAATAATTTTTCAGTAGTTATCGAAGGTGGTTAGCCATATTTTTACTTTATCATTCCTACATGATTGTGATCAGCTTTTCTGTTAGTCTTAACTTTAGTTCAGCTCTTGAATCGAGTTGAATCGATGGAATTTTATGAATCTTAGTTTGAGTTCATTAGTTAAATTTTCTGGAGTTTGACTTCAATCTCCTCTTACGGTTTGCTTTGAAAGGTTTCTTTCCTCTTTTGGTGGTTCATCCTCTTCCGTTAATTTTTGTATGTAACTGTAGTTATATTTTCCCCTCCTTATTTTCTTTTCGTGTGCACGGTTTTGCTTTATTTCGAGTTTTCTGATGTTTTGTTGCCTAAATATCCTATCCATGTGTGCTAGCATAGGATGATGCTTTTAATTTGAAATGAGGAACATTCATTTTGGCAGAACGTTACATTAATTTAAGAGTAATTTTTTTTTTGTAAATATATCTATTAATAATTATTATTTATAGTAATTTATTATATACTTTATATTTAGATGAAGGGCCATTTTAAATATTGTAAATAGTAAATTATAGAGACAGTTAATTTAGTAAATATTGTAGTTTTATGTTTATTTGTATGATAGATCGTAATATTAAGAGGAATAACTAATTTTGCTCTAATTTTTTTAGTTGTAATTGTATATCTTCTACTTATCTCAAGATAAAATTCTTTAACTGTCTTTTAATAAATTTGGATTTCTTTATTCTAAAACAAGACAGAATATCAATAAATAAATTATAAAATTTATAATATCAAATTTTTCTCTGCCTTTTATTAAGCAATACATTATAATTTGTTTATCATTATTTATTTATTTATTTATTTAATTATTACTTATTTCTTTACACTGTTATTTTTTGCGTTTTGTTAATAAAATGTGATATTGAATTCTAGTTATAAATTGTTGTTTTATTTTTATAAAGCCGTAATCAGGTAACTAAATTAAATCAAAGAAGATAATTATTGAATCAAAATTAATGAAAAGTTGTTTCAGCAGCATTAGAATTGCCTTGAAAGGTAAACTACTGTGAATTTTTGTCTTACATAGATTCTTCTCCAAAATTTTACAACAACTTTTGATTATATTTAAAATTTGGGTCGCCTTTTATGACTTTTTTTTAGACAGGTCAAAATCCAAGGAAATAAGTTGGTAATTACCGAATAACTTTTTATTACCCATTTTAATTTTAATTAATGGTTATTAAAGGAATATCTGGTAATGGAAAATCAAACTTTTTTATTGGCAGTAACTTCATCAGCTGTAACTAAAATATTTCTATAACCTGGTACCTAGTGTGATTCGAACCTCAGACCGTTGGATGTATGATAAGAGTTAGGAAGGTGCTTGAGGCTAGATAATCTTATATGGGTTTCTATTAGCTTATCATTAATAGTTTATAATGATACCAAGAATACAGATTATTCTGATTTTTAATTTATTAAGGTACTACATTCATGTGCGAACACTTAATAAACGTCTAATATTAACTAACATTTACATACATAAGATAACTCAA